CGGTCGGAAGCCGTGAAGGACGAACAAAGTGGCACTTGCAAGAGTTTCGTTGTAAATGCACACTTTCGGCCCATTGAACCCTTCTTCGGGCTGGAAACGGACACCTCAAGTCGCCAGCAACTCCTTGGTCCTTGACATGAGCAAGCGCACTTTGCGAATCTTAGCAGCCTGGCAGGTGTCCTATTCAGTGAACCCCGGAAAAATCCGTTTTCATCCTGAAATGTACAATACGTGTTGGTTCGGTATTGGCTACAACCATGTGAACCATGCGGACGTGTTACAAAGGGCGTTTGTCAGGTCCCGCCTTCCCGTTCCCATTTCGAATGAATGCATGTTGAATGTACGAACATACTGTGCTTAGAGATGTGGTATATCGACAGCGCTTCGTGATTAGAAACATCACATGCGCGCTCCATCGTGTATTGCAATGAGATGACGCGGAGGGATACAAACCAAAATTAACAGCAAAATACAATTCCGAAACAAAGTCATCATGATGGGACGGCGTACAAAAAGGTGGCAAATGTTGTCCATTGAACCTCACGCGTGCCAAATGCCCACAACAAGGATGCCGTTGGCACCAAACAGGCAACTTTCTCATCGCCGTCGTTCTGGAGGAGCGGGCGACATTATTCCTGCAAGATGCAATACGAGGATCCTTTCTGCTTCCCTCGTTGGAGAGGCTTGGTCGAGGACGGTCATATACAGAACGCGGCAAACGCAGTGACTCGAGCGACACGTTGGCATATGCACCTCACGCCAACTCGGTCTTGCTGAACATGCGCCCTTCTTGCCATGAGTGCAAGTGAGCGTGCAGTGCGACGTCGTCGTCGGACGACGTTGGAAAGTCCAGCATACCTGGGATTTTGTCCAGCACGCCATGTGTGCAGTGGTTGATGGCCACATGCCCTGCATAGAGGAGCAGCACGCCATCGTGCCACTCGGCCCAACCCTTGATGCCGCAGTCCTCACTCTTCTCGTCGACTGTGAAAGAATGCTCGTACGTATACCGCGCCTGACTCGAACGCCGCGCACTCTTGAACGAGGTGCGTTGGGCCATACGACCCACGTTGTCGGTCACATCGTCTCGTTGGTCGTCGAGATTCATGTCGACAGAAATACGAAGTTATCGCGTACTGCTTGCTTTCAACCTGTAGTGGTGTGCACAGAGGAAGGTGTTTGTTGAACAAGGCAAAATCTTAACTGAATTATGCTAGCTACCTCTTGCTAGCAACAACTGCGCAGGGCTGTGCGCCAGTCAAACTCATTGAGCCGTAATGAGTGGTGGAGCCTAACTTGGGCTCTACACTAATGATCTTGAATAACTTGGATTGCCAGGTACTGTATGGCACTTGAAACTCGTGAGATGACACTTGAAACTTGTGAGATTGATCGTCGACGCAAACACATGTTGCGGACCACGGCCCAGCTAACCGCCGGACCCCGTTACACAACCAGCGACCCATACGTTTGTACCCAGGAGTAACAACTGTTGAAACGAGCAAGGTTGCACCGGTTGCATCCGCCTTGGCGCTCGTTATTAGTGTCCAGTTTGCCCAGACGCAGTCGTACCCAGGAATGGCACGGCGAGGATTTTTACAATCGGGTTTTATTCGGTTTTATTTAAAAAATATCGATTATTTCTGCAGCGGCATAATCTAGTTTTATTCGGTTTTATTCCCTTCAAGGCTCAAATCACTAGAATTTGTTGATCTCGCCAAGAATAGGCCACAGCTCTCGCGTCGACGAGTCCTGCGACTCGACGCCTCTTGCCAGATCGCCGTCAAGCTCTTCAGCATGGCAAAGTCGAGTGCCGCCTCAGAGCGAAACTGGTTCACCATGGGCTTTATTCATTCGAATTTGAGGAATCGTCTGAACCCGAAGAGCATTGACAAGCTCACGTATATCAAGAGCAACTTGCCGGCCTTCTGCGATTACGCACTGCTGGACGATTCCGATGATTCTGATTGCAACAGCCAACCGGAATGGAAAGAATGAACGCGACATGATGCTCGACCTGCGCCAGAATAAAACCATTCTTTTTCACCAAAATCGGGTTTTATTGTATTAAACAAAAAACCCGATTGTTGCCCGAAATATATTCGAGTTTTTCTCACCCCTGGCCGTACCTTGGTCTGCGTCCTGTAGAGAGCTGGAACGAGTGGCACCGAGTCCACCCTTGGCGCTGGCAACCGTTCCCAAAACCCCCGCGCAGCCCCAACCGGCAAAGAAATAGATCTCGATGTGTCTCGTGTACCTTGCAGAAACGGCAGACTTGATTTCCCCGCGTGCCCCTTGCCAATTCGGGGACCTACCTATGCGGGCGATGAAGGAGACGAGTTTGCCGTGGCCACAACCTCGAACGGCTGATGCTCTGGCACCCGTTGCTTGGCCCAAGTAAAGTCGTGCCACGTGAGGGAAGAAGATGAGGCGCTTTGTTGGGTGGTGGGTTTCCCGCCGTGGTAGGGCAGGGTTCCCTCTCGGCTCTCTTTCGATAATTCCTACCAAGTTATACTGTCAAAATATAAAAATACACAGGACCGTCCACCATTGTGATTTTTGTACGCTATGGGAACTCGAGACAACGGGGGAGCATGGCTCAAGAATATGAATGGCATTGGCGGACAAGGTACCAAGTGGGTAGAAGGTGCCGTACGTGCTGCACGTCGTTTTCGATGCTATCTGCTTGGACAACCTAGAGGATTCAACTTGTAGGCTCCAACAAAACCAACGATTGGTAACCTCGTCCGATCCTGCACCAACATGTCAAACGGCGCCGACGAAAAGGACCGATCGCCTATGACTGGTAGACTTGACTCGATGAAGCAGCATCAGCTGCAAAGCGCATCGATCAATTGGGCATCATCATAGTTCGGCGTCAAGAGAGATTGCATGGGGGATCTCTGGTTCACGTAATGGCGTGGACGAAGTAAGAATGGAAATGTAGACACTGTTGTAAGCTACTGGATCCGCACCGGCAGCATAGACAACTCCCCTTGTTCAGCTCGGAAATTGTTTGGGCATGGTCTTCCGTGGAGAATTCTCTATAACCTGTTCGAGTTTATTTCTATACAATTCAATAACTTGTTAAAATTGTTACTTGTCATCCGTAGAAACTCGAAGGGAAACCACGGGACTTCGTCCATGTCCCACATTTTTCAACAGGTTGTCGAATTTATATAAAATTGTTTTAGTTGAGTCGATTGGCCATAGAATCGTTCGGGTGGACGGGCGCCTATCAAAATAAACATTAGTCGTATTTTTATTGCAGACGACGCAGCCATCTTCCGCCGTTGCATCCGGATGACGTAATCCAATTATCCAAACAGATCCAATACGGTTGGTCCCATATTGTTTTCCGGATTTGTTGGAAACGAATGGATTATCCAATTAGGATCTGGCAGAGGACGTCGATTGATATATGTGGGGAATTTTCCCAGTCATACAATCGCCTGGGACGACCCGCACTTCCGTGGCGATCTCTGACCACATTTGCGCCGTCGCCGCCCACGGTCGTCATGGCAGCAGAACACGGGTTGCGGAATCTGCCTCGTCTGCTGGGGATAGTATTGCTCGTGTTCGCCGTGCAGTTCGCGTTGCTTTCGTTCTACTTTGGCGTCAAGTTCGAAGGCATTCACGGGCAGATCTTCCAGACGTCAAACAACGATGACTCGACAGACGACGACCCGTCCCTCGACACGCATGCGCCACAAAACGCGAAAACGGAGTCGTCCTTTCGCCGTGCGATTGTCGTGTACTTCCCCCAAGACCAGCAGGATGCCCTCCTTCCACCGTTCCTCGCTCTTCGCGCGAGTTGGCTGGACTTGTCCGTCCACGAACCGCCGAAATGGCGCACTGACCTTGTCGTGTACACCACCGCAGCTGCCGCGCACCCAACTGCTTCTGAGTCTCCCTTGCTCTCTATGTTGGACGCTCTCGGATGCAAAACGACTCGCCGACGGGCCAACGACGAACCAAACCGATGTGTTGTCGTTCCATCGTACGTTCCCGTCTCGTCCAAAGACACATCCGTGGATTCCATGCACATCGCCGCCATGCCGCGCATGAATACATACCAATGGATTCTACGCACCGACATGCATGCGTTGATCACACCTGCATTTGCGTGGTGGAAGCCTTCCGCGATGACGGTAAGTCAAGGATTGTATCCGTCAGGGTCTCGCGACGCCCTGGCGCGCGTGGCGCGCGAGAACCTTCATATTGCGACCATTCCCCATACGTCTGTCGGTGTGACGTGGTATGGCCCGACGAAACTTGTCCAGTCCTGCGCCGCACAAGCCGTCGACTTTATGACGAACGTCGTGCCTCGCCATCCCGACCTCCAACAACTCGTCAATCGTTCTTCTCACGACGATCCCCTTCGCCTGTTTGGCGCATATGTGGCCCTGAACAACTGCACGAAAGGGTTTGCCCTTGACGTTCGAGGCGACATGCTCGAAGTCGCCGCGACGTCGACCGAGTCGACCGCAAATCACGCGCATATTATCGCGAAAGTGAGCTCCTCTATCGTGACAGAACGCGCTGGGTTGAGGAAGGACGTGCTTGACGAGTATGCGCTGTTCATGGCTATCCAGGGTAGCAAGGCCATGGCGAATCTTACCATGGCCATCGCTTCTCCCGCAAACGCGACTGCCGCTTCCACGACCGACGCCCCCACTACATCCTCGCCAACAACGAGTGTCCCTGCCACGACCGTAGCAGCAGTGGCGGCAGTTGCGTCGACGAGTGCGGCCACGGGCACAACAACAACGGCAGCACCTTCCGCAACAACCACGTCATCGCCGACGTTCGTGCGAGCTGCTGTTGTGTTTATTCCCGAAGGCGCGGAAGGATCTCGATTTGTCCAGCAACTGCGGTGGTTTCGCCGAAGCTGGCAGCACATGGCGTTGTCAGAACCAGCGACATGGCGCACGGACATCGTCGTCTACATCAACGGGTCCGTCCCCGAACTCGCCTCGTTGAATTGCTCGGAAGCGAACGTTCGACAGAGTCGCGACGCCCCCAACGCGTGCGTCGTGGTGGCATCGTACTCGCGACTAAAGTCGGCCGACTTCAACTACTCGTTTGGCGACTCGATCAACATTGTGGCCGCGACGGACATCCCAGCGATGCAGCACTACGACTGGTTGCTCCGCACGGACGTCGACACGTTCCTCACACCGGCGTTCTCGACATGGAAACCAGAAAAGATGACTGTTGGTCGCGGCGGGTACACGTTCTCCGAGTCGAATGCGGCCCGGTTGGCGCGCATCAGCCAGGACTTGCACTTGCACGACGCCAAGGTAAACAACATCGGGTCGACATGGTATGGCCCGGCCAAGCTCGTTCGGGAGTGCGCCAATTTGACGGTGTTCATGATGAAGTACTTGCACCAGCACGAGTTTACGGCCGAGGAGAAGAGCCCCGAGTACG